GTCCCAAAGGCTGGAGGAGGCCCCCGGCAGGGGCCCTAGTCCCAGCGCCGGCCAGGCCAGGGACCCTGGTGACGCGCGTCCGGGACCAGCCCTGGCTTAAAAGTTGTACCCAGGTCCGTTCTCCTTCCCGGGGAAAATTCCCTTTGGACTGACTGGGAAGCGTCTGTGCGCCTCTGCAGAATGCCCACAGGCCACTTCCCTCAAGTGCATGGAGAATAGGGCCTGTTAACCCTCGGTGACCACCGCTGTTGGTCATGTTTCCGGCGAGACCGACGGCCTCCGTGGGATGCGTCATCTGTGCTCATTAGGAGCTGAGCTCGCGGATGAGTCCAGGCCTGGCCTGGTCGCGCTGGTTTCTTCCTGGTTTTGCAAGAGGCTTTATAGTAGCAGCACAAGTCTGTGTCAGACATGAAGTTCCCGCGAGCCCCTTAGTGCCTCAGCACAGAAGCGGCAGTGCCACTGCTTCTGGGTAGCGGTAGGTGGCCAGTTGCCAGGCCGGTCGTGGAGGTTTTGTATGTGGGGTCCTCAGGGGATGCCTGAAAGTGTGGGTCCAACCAGGCCGAAATGCTTTCTCTCACTTGTACACTTTCGTGACAGTGTTTAACCTGTGCATCAGTCACTGTCCTTGTGAGAGAAAAGCAGCCTTGATAAAGGGGTGGTTGTGTCGCCGTACCATGAGTAATGTGAACTTGGCCTCAGCTGGCACTGTCACCTGCACCGCAGTGACCATGTGGTGCCTGTGATCAGGTGTGGACAGCTGGGCGGAACTGTGAGGCAGATCAGGCAGTGGTGTGAGGGTGCCCTGAACACAAGCACCCCGCAGCAGTGCTGCGACTCCCCGTCCACCTGGGCACCGAGATGTCTGCATGCTGAGGAACGGGCAGGCTGAACCCACAGCGTGGACATGATTCACGTCCCAAGTGGGATACCGTGGGGAACAGCAGGAGACATCGCTGTACTCCTGGAAACATGAGGAATTGTAAATTTATAAATTTTTTATTTCTAGAATTTTCCATGTAACATCTCTGGACTGGGGTTAGCCACAGATCCCCAAAACCATGGGAAGTGAGACCCAGGTGGAGAGGGATGGACTCTCAGGGTCCAGGCTTAAAGCCCACGCCTGTGAATCTTCAGGGTCCCCGGCAGTCTGCTGCCAAAGCTAATTTTCATCAAGATCCATTTTCCTATCTTCTAGGCCATCTTAGCAGCTCAGAGACGAGGCGAAGACGTGGAGACCTCTAAGAAATGTAGGTATACACAGGAAATGTCCTGTTTCCATTTACAAACTAGGATGTGCTACGCGGTTGTCTGCCTTGAGTGCGGTTGGGGACCTCTGTTGGGGATAGCGTGGAGGTGGCAAGAACTTGTTGGCACACCTCTGGGTTTCATGAGGTCAGCAGGACCAGATCTTTCATCGCTCCCCATGGCTAGAGAGGACTCTGGGACTATGCCCCTGCCCCGTGGATGTGGGGCAGCCTGGTTTGGTCATGCCAAGCCTGGAGCTGTTGGCTGGGTGGCTGCTCTGAAATCATTTTCCTCATGTTAACTGCGACTCCTCTGCTCTATGTATTCCAACTCCAGGGGCTGCTGGGCAGAACAAGCAGCACTCCATCACCAAGAACACAGCCAAGCTGGACCGGGAGACGGAAGAGCTGCATCACGACCGGGTGACTCTGGAGGTGGGCAAGGTGATCCAGCGGGGCCGACAGAGCAAGGGGCTGACACAGAAGGACCTGGCCACGGTGAGGCTGCTGCGGCACCAAGCCTGGGAGGGTGGTGGTGGTGGTGGGCTAGGCTCCTGCCTTTGGGTGCCAGGTCAGAGAGGCTGTGGCGTGAGCTACCGGGTGGGGCCCCAGCCTCCCAGGAGCAGTGTGTCCCTTGGGCCAGCGCATCTGAGGGACACCTTGTCTTTAGAAAATCAATGAAAAGCCACAAGTCATCGCGGACTATGAGAGTGGACGGGCCATTCCAAATAACCAGGTTCTGGGCAAAATTGAAAGAGCCATCGGTGAGTGTCCCTGGCCTGTATCGGTGGGGTGGTGCTCTCCTGGGTGGACCTTGCTGCTGGGGTTTTGTCTACATTTGGCTGCTCAGGGTCCTCAGAAAGTAGGCCCTCCAGTCCTGTGCCACGGTGCACTCCTACAGTGGCACCCGTGGTGTGGTCTGGAGAGCTCAGTCGGCTCTGCTGGGAAGCGTCGCTCACCGCCTTCTTCCAGGCTCATCAGTGCAGCGCTCTTCGCTGAGCAGTGAGGGCAGGCGCTGCCCTGGGGCCAGTGGGCAGAGCTGCAGCAGGTCAGTGGCCTCTGCCCTCTTTCAGGCCTCAAGCTCAGAGGCAAGGACATCGGGAAGCCCATCGAGAAGGGCCCGCGAGCGAAATGAGCACAAAGCCTCGAAACAGCATGTTCCGCTGAGCCTCCCTCCTGGCTGGGTCCTCGACACCAGCACAGATGGCCACCTAGTGCAGCCCTGCGGAACCTGGGTCAGGCCCGCAGCCAACCCACCCTGCTGTCAAACAAAGAGAACCCTTGGAAGCCTGGCTCTGGCTCTTTCCTGCCGCCCTCCCTTCCTCTGGTCAGGGCATGCAGCGGCACCTTCTCCTGTGTGCCACCTGTTGGCACTTGGAGCTTGAAGCTGGGCATTGTGACGCCACCTCACCAGGAGGGGGCGCTTTTAGGAAGGCTGGGGCCACACTCCCTTCCCCTGAGCCTCTGGCCGCCTCCTCGCGCTGGGCCACAGTGAAGGGGACAGAGTGGAGCATCATGACAGATGCCCAGACTTGGAGTTAGTTCTTGCCTTCAGGGTGTTCCTGTCACCCGCCTGCCCTGACCCTGGGTGTCAGCCGGCCTCACACCTGTGGACACAGGGTGGTACTGGCCATGGCCCCTGCCACCCTTTTCGGGGCTGATGGCACAGGCAGGAGCCCAGTGCTGCTCCTTGGTGAGCAGAAGGCAGCGCCTGGCTCCCCAGGCAGGTTTGCCCCTCCACAAGACAGCCCCAAGGTACCATGGGTGCCACAACTGCAGGGCCCACATCTGGGTGTGGTGGTAATGGGCCACCTTGCTTAGGATCCTGATCCTGTCCAACATGTACAGCCTCAGTGTCCCCTTTCAGCCCTCCTGTCACCTGCTCGGGAGTGTGGAGGGACCCTCCATCATGGGCAGCACCCCCTGCCAGTGGCCTGTCACTCTCCAGTGACCCTGGACTCATGGGTAACCCCCATCCTCCCTCTGGATGCAGTCAGTGGCAGGCTGGGGCCCACACCTGCCTGTGGAGCGGGTGGCTCTGCTGTCCAGCTGGGTGCCCCTGGGTCTGCCTGTGTTGTTACCTGAGGCCCTTGGGTCTCCACACTGCACTGAGAAGCAAGGAGGGGCTACACACCTCCCTTCTGGGGACCCAAGGCCAGGCTGGACACATTGACCCAGCCTGAGAGCTCAGGCTGCCCTTGAGGGCGTGGGTGTTTATTCACAGAGTAGGGAACCCAGCCACACCGTGGGTCCAAAGTGTGGCAGTGTTGTGGAGGTGCTACACGAGGTGCCAGGGCCTGCACTGGTGATCTAGGGGTTGCTGGTGACAGCTGCAGGGAGGGTGACTTGATCCTAGAAGAAGGGAGGGGCTCCATGACCATAGCAGAAGAGGTGGGGCCCTAGGCAGCCCGGCCCCTTCGCTGTCCTGGCTCCTACCGCGTTGAAGAGAATGTTGTCAAAGCTGTGGGCTGCTGAGTCCTTGTCCCTCTGGAAAGGCCAGCCCCAGCCCCCCTTCTTGTGTAGCCAGTGCCGCCCTGCAAATCCCAGCAGCACCAGGAGCGTGAGGAAGACGAGGGCCCCGCCGACTGCGGCCAGCACTGACACGTGCGCTGCTGTGTCCTCTGCAGGTTGAGGGCACAGAGGAAGCTGGGGCTGCCTGGCCTCTTACCCTTGCTGGCTGTGGTGTCTCTGGAAGGGGAGACAACCCTGCCAAGCCCCCTTCCCTCACGGGGTGGCAGCTAGCAGCCGTGTGGGGCAGGAGTGTGGGGAGCACAGTGCTCACAGGCCGGCCGGGCTGGGAGGGGTCCCAAGACTGACTTGGCTGGATGGGGGGTCAGCCTGGAGCCCCACACACCTGGGCTCACTGTGGGCCGCTGGCAGTGCTGCCCAGCCAGGTACTCGATGTCATCCAGGGCAATAGGCCCCTGCACCGGCTGGCCACCCAGTGTGGCTTCAAACACCACCTGTGGGGGCCGGGGATGTAGCTCAGTGGTTCCGCTGCCTGCCTTGCAAGCACAAGGTCCCGAGTTCAATCCCCAGTACCAAAAGCAACAAACACCACCTGTGGGGAAGGGAAAGGCTTGGAGGTGGAGGGGGGTAGCACAGCCTGCTGGGGACCTGAAGCTCACCTGGAACTCCTCGGCGCTGGCTACCTCCACCTGGGCCTTCAGCCACTGGTGCCGCAGCCGCCCGCCCTCGGCCCACACTACCAGCTGGCCGCGGACACTGACCAGGAGCACTTGCAGCTCTCCCTTGTCTGAAAAGAACAGGGTGGTCAGACTCGGCCTTGGGAGCTGCCGTTGCACTCCTGCCCCTGGTCCCTGGGCCCCACCAACTCACAGAAGTGCTCAGGGAAGCCCATGTGGTACCAGAAGCGGAGGCAGGAGGCCTCAGTGGCCGGCAGGGGCTCACTGCGCAGCCAGGCTGCCCGGCTCCCATCACCCAGCACGCCGGTCTCAAAAAAGGCAAAGTGGCCTGGGAACAAGGAAGCAGAAGCCAGGCTGGGCACCACAGCCCTGGGGCCTCTCGAGGCATCAGGGTTTGTGGAGGCTGTGCTTTGTGGTGCCAGACAGGCCAAGTGGTTGTGTGGCTTCTGGGCCCCCCTTCCCCACTCAACCATCAGCCAGTGCACACCTGCCTCGGTGCCCAGAGTGTGGTCCACGGTGGGCCGTAGGTATGGGGATGGGGTGGCACCGCTGCTCCAATCCCAGCTGTACCCACCCAGGCCTGGCCAAGCCAGGTGGCTCCAGCCACACAGGCCAGCCTCGAAGTCACAGGACCCTGGCAGGAGGTAGCAGATGAGTGGCACTGCCTGGCTGCCAGCCCCAGGTGCCTCCCACTCCTGGGTGGGCCCAGGCCAGGGAGCTGGGCTTGGCACAGATCCTGTGCTACCAGCAGGCCACAGCAGGCTCCCACCTGGCTGAGGGCAGGGCCCGTCCTGCAGGAGGACGTCATCCACCGCCATGTAGGAGTGCTCCACGCCTGCAGCCACTGCCTCAAACACTACCTGTGGGATGAGTCAGCTGCTGCAGCAGGTGCAGCGACCCTGGAAGATGGTCCCTCACCACCCTGGGCGGGACACTCACCCTCCACGCCTGCTTGGCCTGCACAGCCATGCTGCCCAGGCGCCAGACGAGCCCGCCATGCTCACTGATGCTGAGTGTCTGGTGGTGGTCACCCTCTTCCACACGAACCTGCAGAGTGCCTGCCACACCACAGGAAGTTGCCCACCTGGCTGCCCAGCCGGTACAGGGCCCATGGGAGCACCATAGCTGCAGCAGGCCCCTCCCGTGGCCCCTTACCTGGGTTGTGCTGGCTCAGGTGGTACCAGAAGGTCAGGCAGGCGGGCTGGGGCAGTGGCCAGTGCTCTTCCGAGGTCAGGGAGGCCACATGGCCCCGGGGTAGCGCGTCTGGGCTTGTGTCCACGACCATGTAGTGCCCTGGGAGGCAGCGTCAGCCCGCCTGCCTGCACCCACCCCTGCCCGCCCCATCCATCCATACCTTGGGCTGTCTCCGTGGTGTGGTCTGTCCAGGGGCCACTGGCAGCATGGCCCAAGGCACTGGCTTGGCGCCTCCACAGGCCCTGCCCGCCAGAGGAGAAGCTGCAGGTGGAATCCTCAAAGGAGCAGCGCTGGGGGGCAGGGCATGCGCCAGGTTGCATGGTCACGTCGTCCAGAGCCATGATGCCGTGATACCCATCCCGGAGGCCCTGAAATAGCAGCTGAAGGAGCAGGTGTCAGCTGGCTGGGCCTGGCCGCCCCCATCCCAGACAGGCTCACCTGGTACTTGGTACTGGGCTCTAGCTGGTGGTGCAGGGTGGCCCAGGCCTGATGCCAACGGTTGCCATGGGTGCCTGACCCGGACCACAGAGGAACTTCCTCTTCCCCGTCCCTCCACATGGCTAGGCGCAGCGTCCCTGGAGGGAGGTGGGGTTTGGAGGGGATGAGCCACCAGGTCCTGATCCCCCAGGTCTCCAGTGGGCCTCCTTGGATGCCCTAGCAGTTTGCGTGCTCACTCACCGATCTGGGGCCCATGGAGGTGGAACCAGAAGCTGAGGCACTGCTCCCGGGCTACTGGGACCTGTGGTTCTGTGAGCAGGTGGGCTTGGCGGCCATGGCTGCGGGGCTCGGCAGGGTCCAGGAGCATGAAGAAACCTGTATGGGTCACCAGGCTGAGCTGCAGGGTACATTCCTAGGCCTGAGGGCCCCTGGGTAAGGGGGTCCCCAGTTTGAAGTCCTCTCACATTCCAAGGTGCCAGGGTTTCCTGGTTCTGAGGCCCCCCCTACCTTGACCAGTGGTGTGGTCGTGCCCAGAGCTGTGGCTTTCTACCCGGTGCCAATGGACATCTGTGAGGTGGCCCAGGTGCCAGCCACAAGCATCCCACTCAAAGTTACAGGTGACCTCTGGGGGTGGGCAGGAGTGTTAGCACAATCCCTACCTACTACCTCCCCAAGACCTGAGGAAGTGTGGGTTCCCAGGGCCCCCGGAGGTGGGCTGGGAAGGGGGGGAAGGAGGGACCTCTGTCCTTCTCAGTGGTCACTGTGGGGCTGCAGTCCCTCATGGTCATGTTGTCTACCCCAGCCCCCTGCTGGCCAGGGCCATCCAAGTCCACCAGGGCGACCAGCTCCAGCTTCAGGGTGGAGGGAGAGGGCTGTAAGTCAGGGCCAGCTCTCTGAGGACTCCCCCACCCAGGCAGCCCTCCTCACCCGGAAGGGCCTGTGGTGTGCTCCAAGAAGGACTTTGTCCACTGTCCAGTCCCTGGAGCTGCTACCTGGTGCCTGCCAAACCAACTCCCGGGAGCCACTCTCCACCACAGCCAGTGCCAAGAAACCTGGCAAGGGGTCACAGAGGGAGGGCCTTTGTGGACATGCCCCACGTAGGCACCAAGGGTGAAGAGGGCTGGGGCAGTACCTTGGGGCTGACTGTGGAAGTGGTAGGCCATGTGGAGCTCACAGTGCGGGCCCGAGGGGCCCAGGACAGGCGTGAGGGCCCGGGCCTCAGCCCTCAGCTGCCCCCAGGCCCTCTGCACGGACAGGAAGTGCCCTGAGGAAGAGCAGGGGCTCAGAGCCATTCATCCAGGACGCCCTCTCTGCTCAGGGCCCCTCTCTAGTGTGGGTACAGTGAAGGCCTCACCTGCAGCAGCCTTGCTCGGGCCCCCGCTCTCCTGGGCTGCCAGCCGAACCCACTGTAGCTGCCCTATGCTGACGTCTTCCCAGCCCCTGGCTGCAGCGGACTCAAAGTCTGTGGTGCCTAGAACAGAGCCAGGCTGGAGGGGCAGCTGCCACGCAACCCCTGCCTTCCCAGTACAGGCTGCCACCTACCACACTCATGCTCGTCCTCGCCCTGGGCGCACTGGGGCTGGAAGTCGCACAGCTGCTCGGGGGGCACACACAGGTCCCTGCAGGCCAGCTGCCCTGGCTGGCAGGGGCCCTGCAGGCTGGACTGCTGGGGCCTGGGGGCCTTGGGCCAAGGCACATGAGGTGGCACCACCCCTGTGGGGCAGAAGTGAGGTCAGCTGGGGCTGCAGGCACTGAGCCTCTCCTAGCAGGAGGCAGGAAGGGTGGGGTGGGGGGGCAGTCACCTGGGGTCACTGTGCAGTGGTCAGACAGAATGAGGTCGTCCAGCCCGACAACACCTCCAGGACCTGTGTCCCCAGTCAGGAGGATCTGGAGGGGAGGGTGCTCAGGGGTGCCTGGTCCCTTGGTGCCCCCTGGGAATGCTCCCAGCCTGTGTCCCCCGCTCTGGGAACAGCCCTCTTGGCTCCCTCAGCAGTCCCTGCTAAGACCCCCAGGATCCCTCCCTGCCCTGGCAGAGCTCCCCAGACACTGCCATTGCCTGGCCAGCCTCACCCAGAAGGGGTGGGTGCTCCGGATATCCACTCGGTCTCGGACCCAGGATGTTCCCAGCTCGCCGTGGCGCTGCCGAAGCAGCACAGGAGCCTGGGAGGTGCCAGGGCTCTGTGTCTGTAGGAGCAGCTCAAGGCGGCCGTCCTCGGAGCCATGTAGGTAGTGGTAGAAGATGAGCTGGAAGGGTCTGGCAGTCAGGGCAGCCTGTGGCACTGGGCAGGCAGGTCTGAGGGCCCAGGTCCCGGCACCCATCTCACCGAGCAGTTGTGGGAGCCTGAGGCTTGCAGCTGGGGGCTGAGGAGCATGGCGGGGTTGCCAGGCATGGCCATGGAGACCAGGAAGGACCCTGGGGGAGACAGTGGGCATGAGCTCCTGTCCCTAGGGGTGGCCATGTGGCCAGGTCATTGGCCGGGGTTCCTGTGGGCCTCACCCTGTGGACTGTTTCGACTGTGGTCTCTGTGTGGCCAAGCAGAGCCCTTGGGACCGCCGGTGCTGTGGTTCCAGGCAGAGCCCTCTGAGTAGGTCCACAGGCCCAGGCCTGTCTCGAAGTCGGTGATCATGTGTTGGCCTGGGGGGTGGGGCTGTCAGGGCCACCTGCGGCCGGTCGTAGGGCCCCACTCCAGGGTGACCCTGTGCTCACTCTCGGACAAGCCCCTGGTGCTTTTTATTTATTTGTCTTTCTGTGGTATTGTGGATTGAACCCAGAGCTTTTACATGGAGCTGTATTCCCAGCCCTTTTAAAAAATTTTTCATTTTGTTTTGAGACAGGGTCTCAAGTTGCCCAGGCTGGGCGATTCTCCTACCTCAGCCTCCCAGCATGTGGGGATTATAGGAGTGTGCCACCACACCCAGCTGCCCTACTGTTCACTGAAGGATCCCGGGGTCAGGTCAGGGTCTGAATCCCCACCCTCTTCTGCGTCCCTGCCCACCACAGTGGCCCCGCCTCACTGCAGGACAGCAGGTCCTCGTCAGAGCCATCGCCACAATTGTCTTCCCCATCGCAGAGCTGGTGGGATTCTATGCAGGCCGCGTTCTGGCAGTGGTGGTGGCCCAGGGGGCAGGTGGCCTGGGGGGCTGGGGGAGGATGACCAGGTGAGGGGCCCAGGACTTGGAGCTGGGGAGTAAGCAGTGAGGCCCCCGACCCCACCCACCAGGGCTGGGCTGGGTGAGCGGTGCCTTACCTGGGAGCCCACAGTTCCAGAACTCCACGTCATCCAAGGCCACGGCACCCCTGTGTGTGGCGTTTCGGGTAGCAGAGAAGGTCACCTGAACAGATCAGGTGCCCTTAGGACTTCAGTCAGGCCCCAGACCGTCCCTTGCCCCTGGTGCCAGACACCCTGCTCACTCGGAAGTCACCCTGGATGCGTCCGGTGGTCACCACCAGCTCCTGCCAGCCAGGGCGCCAGGGGCCTGAGCTCTGCCACAGGGTCAGCGTCTCTGCCCGGTGGGTCAGCTCCAGCTGCAGCTCGGCCACATCTGCGGCATTTGGGTGGTCCTGGAGTGGCTTCAGCCCTGCAGTGCCCGGGGCCCTCCTCCGGGTATCCCTCCTTCCTTCCCCGGAGCTGTTCCCCCACCCTGGGTCTAGGGTCCCCGGCCCACACCTCCAGATGTGACATGGCACCAGAGGTGCAGCTCACAGGCGGGGCCTGCCTCCCGTATCACTGGGGAGCGCAGGGCCGCAATGGAGGCCTGTGTCCCATGGTGAGTGCCCACAGCCATGTACCAGCCTGGTGGAGAGGGGAGAGCAGTCAGGAGGCAGGATGGAAGTTGAGGGGAAGGTGGGGAGTAGGAGAGTGGCACAGACACCCGGCCTTACCCAGGTCTGTGCCGCGTGTATGGTCGGTGTGAGCCACAGGCCCTTCGGGCTGTGCCCCTGCACGATCTCGGACCCAGTTGTAGCCCGAGGTGCTGATGTCCTGCCAGCCACAGGGGTCCTGCTCAAAGTCGCAAGTGAAGGGGGTGCCCAGGCTGGGTGAGGCCACATTGTAACCTGGGAGAGTGGGGGTGTCAGGTGTCGGCCCCAACCTGGGCCTGGGACCCCCACCACCTCCAGCTCACCACACTGGGTCTCATCGGAGCAGTCTCTGCAGTCACACAGGAAGTCACACTGAGCCTCCACGGGGCTCGCACAGGGATTGGAGACCCAGGCTCTGCCCAGGGACTGCACTGCTGGCGAGACAGCCAAGTGGATCAGGGCACCATGCCCAGGACCGGCTGGTTTTCCTGAGAGTTATGTATCCAGGGAAACCCTTCAGAGCAGCCCAGGACATTTGTCACCAACTTTGGGGTCACCATTATAGGAACAGGCATGGGGGTTCCATGCCATCTCTCAGGTTCCCAGCCCCTCGGAGGCGGCATTTGGGGGAGGTAGCCATGGTCATGGGTGGGAACAGGACCTTGGGTGTGGGACACTCCCTAGGGGCAGGGATCAGGGCATGTGGCTTCTAGGAGGGTTCCCCAAGATGACTTCTCAGTGCTCACCCTGGGCCCACATTTGAGAGGGCAGGAGGGTTCAGGAAGTTGAGTGGGTGCCCACCTAAGAGCCCTCTCACCTGGGGCAGGGAGAGGAGGCTTAGCTGTGGGCTTTCCTGAATGTCCCCCTTGCAGGCCACCCTCATCCTCTGGAGAGGTCTGGCAAGACCAGCCAACTCACCCATGAGCAGAACCAGCACGGACAGGAGGCGTGTGGGCAGCCGCATGGCCAGGCTGTGGGGAGGAAGGCCCAGTGGTGGAGGCTGTGCACCCTGGCAAAGACTTTGTTGAAGTGTCACCCTGCAGAGGCCCCACTTACTTGCCTCTGACTCAGACGGGCTCAGATCCTTTTGTGCTTGCAGCCCCTTGGCTGGGCCCCACCCCGGGATGGCCGGCCAAGCATCTGGTTGTAAAAGTGTCCCCAGGAAGCGCCCGTGGCCAGGCTCAGCTCCCACCTGCCTAGCTTCTCCCGAACAAAGGTCAGGCCACGGCCATTCTGCACCCTGATCCCCACCCTCCTGTTAGTGGGGTGGGGCTGGGCAGAGGCTGACACCCAGGGGCTTCAGAAGGGTCCAGCATAGTAGGGTGGTGCTGGGATCCCACAAGCAGGGCTCTGTGCACAGTGTGGGTGCTTCTCTCATGGCCCTGGCTTGGCCCTGCCTGGTACTGAAGAGGGGTAAGGTAGCCTGTCCCCGTGTGCCGAGGCTGCCTTGAGGCAAAGGCCTGGTCCTCTGGAACCCAGGCTTTGGATTGCCACCCCACCATTGGTTCATCCTTCAAAATCATCCCAGGCAGCCATGTGCTGGCTGGTCCATGACAGGTTGGGTTCTGCAAGCCGGAAACTTCTGGTTCTTCAGTATGGGCCCAGTTGGGGCAGGAGGAGCATGCCTGCCACCAGACTTACCCTGGGGTAACATTGGAAAAGTGGACCTCGGCATGCTCACCTGGATGGTGGCCTCGAGGACCTCTCCAAGGGCTTACATGAGGTTAGGGGCACAGTGTCTCCCTGTCTCCATACACCCACGTGGGAGGTGGGGCTGGGAAAAGGCTGAGACCCAAGACTGTGGGAGGTCCACCAGAAGGGGGCCCTCAGAGCCATGAGTGCCCTCCTGTTTGGTGTCCATCAGCGAGCAGCTCCAGCACCTGATCCTGGACTGGAGGATTGTGGGTCGTGTCACCTGTGTCCCTGACCAGCAAACCACTCAGGAACATGAAGGCCCCAGGCTGGGCCTGTAGGCAGACTGACAATGACAGCCAATGTCATCCAATGTCAGTGGCCAGGACAGAGGTTACCAGGCACCCTTCCCGCCGGAACCCTGAGCTGAGCTCTAGGAAAGGGGCACTTGTGGGCACTGAAGGCCTCAGTTGGCCATGAGAACCAGGCACAGACTTCTTGCGAAAGGCCTTGTTAGGTCTCCACCCAGATGTCTTCTAGGATAGCAGCATGTGGAGGAGCAATCAGGCCATAAACAGCAGCAGCCTGGGGGCCCTTACCCCACCCCAAAGGGCTGAGCATGCACTGCCGCTCCCCAGGGCCTCCAGAGGAAGAGGCCAAGAGGTTCCAAATGGTTACCCAGGGGTGGAGGAGCCAAGACACACTGATGAGCAGGAACACCAAGGCTTTTAATTCCTGTGGGCCAGGCTGGCCCAGGCTCCAAGGCCTGGTGGGGTGGCACGTTGCCAAGGGGTGCAGAAGCAAAGACCTGGGCAGCCCCTCAGGAGTGACCCTGGGCGAGTAGAGTCCTGTCTTGACTGCTGGGCACTGGCCTCAGTAGCCATCGTCTGCCCAGGTGACCTCGTAGTCAGGATACTTGGCTTTGATCTTCTCAGTTGAGACAGAGTGTTGGGCGCGACCGTAGCCCTGAAGAGAGGACAGCACTATTTTCCACCTGACTGTGCTCTGTTCCCAGAGCCTCACCAGGAGCAGGAGTGGGCAGGGGAGCAAAACCACCATCCTGACTGCCCTGGGGACAGGTGGGCCGCACAGGTGAGCCCTCAAGTGCCAGGTGGTGTTTGTGAGGTGAGTGGGTTGGGGCTGTGACCCTACCACTGGCTGCCCCAAGGGCGCGAGGCCCAGATGGCCAGAACACAGAGTGTGCCAGGCCTTGGGTCCAGGGGTAGGGCCAGCCCATAGTAGCTTTGGTGCCCTGTGGGCAGGGGGGTAAGCCCAAGTCATGAGAGGGTGAACACGCAGAGGCCAGGCCAGGCAGTAAGGCCCAGAAGCAGCTCTGCAGCCAAAACCAGCACCCAGAGCCTGCCGGGTCGGGCTCACCATCGAGTAGCCGTATACGTGGATCTTTCTGTCCTGGTTCTGGTGGGAGATGCGCCCGCCACCCAGGCACTCGCAGTCGTAGCCCTTCTTCCGCAGCTCACTGGACACTTTGTCATAGATGTCCGCTGGGGTGGAGACAGCAGCAGCCCTCAGGACAAGGCCCGGCTGCCCTCGGGAGGCCGCGGGAGGAACTCTGGGCTCTGGGTTCTGAAGCCCGGTCCCCGGTGGAAAGGAAACCCCCGCGGCCGGGGACAAGGCGAGAAAGGGGGTGCTGGGGAGCGTGCGGGGACTGGGAGGGAGGGTCAGGCCCGGCGAGCTCTTCCTGCTCAGGACTCGATTCTCCAGGCCAGCCTGGGCGGCTGGCACGTGGTAAGGGCCACCAGGAGCCGCCCCTGCCCTCCGTCCCTGCCCTTGTCCTTCGCACGGTCCCGAGTCCCTCCAACTTAGCCTTCAGCGCCCCCCGCCGGCCCACCAGGATC